TTCAGCGACTTTACTTTCTTCTACCAAACAGCTGACATCACAGGGACATTTTTGTTGTCTTTTCAGCAGCTCAGCTCCAAACTGTAGTTTTAGCAATGCAAAGCTCTGAAAATCAACACAGCCAAACTGGGCTCAGATAAGGTTCTTATTTCCACAAACTCCTGGTGAACTCGTGTCAAGCAAGGTTCAAAGGAGATTTGATTTCACGTGTTTAGATTTTAAGATATTGGTATATGTGTGAGCCACTTAAATATGAAATCTAAAAGAGTTTTTTTTTGTCTGCTTGCGCTCTCTGAGGGACAACATGTTTTCGAAGCAGCGTATCATGCAATCATAACAATAGTAGCACACAAATCCAGTGGTTGGTTTTGTCTTAATGATGCCAAAGGATTTCATGTATTTGGCTACCACACTTAATATTACTCCATGGTGTAAATGTTGCTTGTTGAAACTTGTAGTGGAACAGGGTTTTTTTTTTTTTTTTTTTTTAGATGCCACAACACAGATGGGCTACAACATGACATACAGGCCTACACCACACACAACACACGACACACACGCACACACAACACACAGCACACAACACACACACACACACATTCCTAGTCAGTAGGAGTGGACATAAAAAATTATACAGGCCATGGTCTGGGAAACGCCTGTGAAAACTTGCCCCCTCATAAACACAAGTCAGGATCGGACAATAAATAGAAAATCAGGAGACAGAAATCTGAGAGGCTATAAGTGTATAATTTTCTAATCTGTTGTAAGGCAGACAGCCAGTTCATATCACATTGCTGGAAAAGGTTTGCACAAATGGAAAATCATATTAAAAAGTTGCCAGACAGTCTTTCCACTGTAAACACATGCATGTGAATGAGTGGCAGCGGAGTGATTTATATGTATTGTAGGTATAATCTGGCTTTGGGCATTTCTTCAGTATGGTTGAGGAGTGAGGTTAGAGGAAAAGTGTTCTGATATATTTATGAAACTTTACAAAATGTGCAACAAAACACATGACATAGCCTAATTTCTATAAAAAAAACAGTCCATATTCTTTATCTTATCAAAGCAAAGCACTAAGAAATGATCTGCTCTCATCCAGTCAATGATTACTTCCTATGATCGGCCCTTATACAACTAGAGGCTGTGTTCAACCTTTGAATGTGCGGAAACTGGCATTTCAGGGTATTCAGGGTCAAATTCCTCCAATGTCTGTGTGTGAAATTCCAGTATCTTTCAGTCAGTTGTTGGCTATGTCATTGAACAAAGCTACTATCGACAGCTGTGATAGCTGCATCAGCCTTTTTCCCTTCAGTCTCATGTCTTGACTTGAATTGAATTTTTATAAAGAGTGTCAATGAATTGATCTAGGAATCCCCAATAGCAGTTGTTTGTTAGCCAAAAGGAAGAAGAGATATATTTTTCCAACTAAATGCAGAAAAAGCTATCTTTTATTAGAATATGATCTGAAAACAGCTATTTAAAAAAACCTAACACTTTCATGTTAGATATATATAACCAACTTTGTCTGGTGTTAATTAGCATGTCATGATAATTGCTAACAAAGGTAATTTAAAATGTATATCGGCTGAGGAGTGATGACACAGTAGTTTGCTGATTGGGCAAGCAAATCATGAATTACTTAATGTCGATGTTAAGTTAATTAATTAAGGAAAAAGGGGGTGTTTAAAATTGTGCGAAAGGATTTGGTGATGCTAACTTTCAAAGTTATGTGGTCACTTTAATTGATATGCTATCTTTCAATATATAGCAGTTCCTAAAATAAACATTCAGGGAATTTTCTGTGAAGGTTTGAGGTCTGGGAGTTGATTTTTTTACTTTGTGAAAAATACTATATATATATCTGACTAGCTTAGCTGCGGTCTAAAATGTGCTCAGTCAAATCGGAACTTGCTGGGATTTGAATTGCAGTTGTTAGTTAAATTGAACCAGATTGCTGTGTCAATACGAGCGCAGGTTGAGCTGAACTGCAGCTGTCAAACTATTGTTTTTTGATGCATTCTGGTACCATTCATCATTCTTTAGGTTTATTATACCAAAATGAAAGGCTTGTTTTAGCATAAACCATAGACACTGTCTCCATAGGTGCAGTTTGCCAGTGTAGCAGACAGTGTGGTCCAGTACATCTACTACCAGCCCATCATCCACCGCTGGAGGGAGACTGACTTTTTCCCTTGCTCTGTCACGTGTGGTGGAGGTAAGCATGAAGTAGCATTGTGGGCTAAGTACTTGCAGTGTTGTCCGCCAACTGATTAAAAGCTGTTATCTTCTGCAGCAGATAAATAATCAAATGTTTGATAAATTCCGAATATTGAATAATTGATCCATTAATTATGTTTTGATAGATCATTCTAGTGTCAGCCCTTGTTTAATTTTTTTTGGGTTGAGTGACACTTGGTCTTGTCTGCAGGCTACCAGCTCACCTCAGCAGAGTGCTTTGACCTTCGTAGTGGCCGGGTGGTTGTAGATCAGTATTGCCATTATTACCCAGAGAACATCAAACCTAAACCCAAACTCCAGGAGTGCAACATGGAGCCCTGCCTGGCCAGGTGAGAGACCTTTAGGGGGTTTAACCTCAACACTCCAGATATCCATGTTAGTGATCTTTCAACGGCATGTATGATCCGAAATCCTAATTTCTTTAACCGATTTTGCATTTTAGTGATGGCTACAAGCAAATTATGCCATATGACCTCTACCATCCCCTGCCTCGGTATGTACTCATAGCACACACACACTACAAAAAGTCTGACATTAACCAATCTCCATCCGTGACTTCATGACTAACCTTTTATGACATCAGATGGGAGAGCAGTCCCTGGACCGCCTGCTCCACCTCCTGCGGTGGAGGCATCCAGAGTCGCTCGGTATCCTGTGTGGAGGAAGACATGCAGGGTGTCATCACTCCCACTGAGGAATGGAAGTGTCTCTACTCCCCAAAGACAGCTATCCTGCAGCCCTGCAACACCTTCGACTGCCCCACCTGGCTGGCACAGGAGTGGTCACCCGTAGGTGCCCTTTTCAATTCTGTTTTTGAACATTAATCTTTTGAGTATTCATACTGGTTATTATTATTTCTACATAGTATAAAGACAATATAGGGTCCGGTGAAGTGAAGTGAAGTGAAGTGAAGTTTAAAGGCCATACAGAGTCTTCATTGATTGCAGTTGTTCTTTTGTGAGGTGCTGTAAAGCATCACAAAATTTGAAACGTTGAGAAAGTTCAACTAAAAAATGCCTAGTAACCAAATGTAAACAGACGTCGCTGTGTGTTCTGTAGCTGTTACCACCTGGGAAGTCAAATATTAGCAAATGGTTAATTTGTCTTTTTAGTCTGTGAATCACCACAGTAGGTCTAAATCAGCCTGTAGTGTAAAAAAGCATGATTAATTGTCCCAGGGAGAAACCAAAATATACTCAACCGACAATCTGACTTGGGATTTTACCATCTCTTCAGGCAACACAACAGGAACCTGTGCACAACCTTGCCGTGTAATTCAGAGTAGCACCGCTAACCTCAATTTGAGTGCCCTTCACCACTCGTGCCCTCCAAAACACACAAGGCTTTAATTAAAACCCCAAAGTCCACAGCACATATGGATACTTTTTCTTTGCCAAAACACATCCAGGTTATCGAGGTTGATCATCTAACACTTACTTACTTATGTGGCATAGTTGCTGTTACATTAACCATAAATGTCCCATGCGACATCCTCGTGGGGATTTTTCAACCTCACCGGTTATACAGGCACAAGCACAGGCACAGGGAGTCAAATTTGTGGCCCTCTAAAAACCTGGGATGCTGTTTACCTAGCACATTCTTCCTGATGAACTTGCCTTTAAATGCTTGTTTTGGCAGAGGATACACAAACTTCAACCCCCGCAGAGAGAGCTGCAGGGATTTTTGAAGGTTCCTTTCTTCCCTTGAGTCAAGGGCTGAGGCTTTCTGTCAAACAAAAGCAAAGAGAGCAAACCATAGGAGCAAGACCTAACACGTTAGCCTGTCTGTATGTGAAAGTAATGATCAGTTGATCAGTAATTTGTAGAATATATCCCCTGAACTGTCCTGTCACCACCAGTGCACGGTGACCTGTGGTCAGGGTCTTCGCTACAGGGTGGTGTTATGCATCGATCACAGAGGCCTCCACGCTGGAGGTTGTAACCCCACCACCAAACCCCACATCAAGGAGGAGTGCCTGGTGACTGTGCCCTGCTATAAGTCCATAGGTGGGTTAGATTGTTATTTTTTGTTCTGTTAACCACCAAACTTAAAAATAGCATCTCTCTTGCAATATTCAACATTTGTCTTTTCTCTGTTTATCTCTAGATACACTTCCAGTTGAAGCAAAACCTGTGTGGCATAAGCAGGCCATAGAGCTGGAGGAGGAGACCATCGTTACTGAGGAACCAACGTGAGTACCAGACACCCACATATGCATGCCCACAAAAAAGGATATTAATGGGATCACTCTATTTTGTCTATTTGCTGCTTTATTCTATTGAAAAAGGTGTAGGAGCTGCCATTCAAGCTTTTAGATACATAAATCTCTCATTATATTTACTGGCTCTACAACCATATACCGGCAGATTACTGCCAGAGGTGAATGTTCTGTTGAAACCATTGCAGGTGTCGGCGCTTTATACCATAAATAAGTTAGGAGGATACAACTGCTAAAGCTATAAATCAGGGCAAATGTAATGCTTTAAATCACTCTGTTGGGCTAAAGAATCAAAAGTCAGATCCCAGATACATCCTTCAACAGTTTTCACAACTCAAAGCTTTGGATTTACCTGGAGGTGAAATTGAAGTTGGCAGGGCCTTGTGCTGCCATGAAACCACCATAGGTCGTGTCAACAGCCTTTTACAACAACTTGGAGTGAAAATGTAGAGCTGCAGGGCCCATTTTTTTGACTTTTCAAAATATTTTATCAAGACAAGTAAAGAAGAATTCCCCTTAAATTTAGATGTTTAATGCTTTTCTACTTCAGTGAAGGTGTGTAGTGTCAGATCTAAGCCATGCATATGCTGTATGAGGTTGTTTAAGGTAAAAGAGGAAGCTGAAGGTGAAAAAGAAAAAAACATCTTTTTGGAAACCAGTGGACTGTTCAGTCACTGGCCACTAGCATTACCTCAGCAGGCCTCAAATGTTCCAGATGTTCTTGTCCCACATATCAATTGACTAATAAAGGCTGTCCTCTGAAGATGGACAATGTTTGGATTCTACCCAGTGTCTTGCATGACTTGTATTAGCGACCATGTTAGCCAGTTCAAAACATCTGTTACTTTGACTTATCTTTGGAGCGAGCGAGAGAGAGAGAGGCCAAAACATATGATTTTGCTCTATTGCAAAAAAAGCATGTATTTCCTCCAAAAGCACATAAATATCTGTGTATAATACGCAGTCATTCACAAGCCAACAACAATATCTGCCTACCATATGGGGCCAGGTTACGGATGTGAAAGGAAAGAGAAGGAAATTCCTGTGTTAGACTTATTGCACCTCCATTGCCAGGCCTTATGCCTGCCCCAAGCCACCGCTGTGCAACTGCATGAAGAATTAAACCCATATATGTTCCACAGCTTGGCCAAACCTGCTTTTTCCCCTTTTCCATCACAATGAGTAAATAATATATTTCCATTGATGGATATTTAATTGATATGATTAACGTGGGGCTTTGGCAGATATGACAAAAATGTGTTGTTTCCGTCCATGAACGAAATCAAGACTGTTTTTGAACCGACAGATGTACTTTAACTACGCATGAAGATAAACATTTCTGTGGGTTCACTTGTTGACTTTGTTGCTTGTGTTCCAAGTGCCGGTGATTCATTTGTTTGTCCAAAACACAATGAGTCCTTGAGTGCTCATAAAGAGCCAACTTTGCTGTAATTATGAGCTCTTTATTGAGGCATCTTATAAAACAGCAGGGTGCTCTTGTGTTATGGTCAGACTGCTCAAACAAGGAAGACTGCTGCACACTGGTGCAGGCTGCCAGGCTAGTAGGTACCTCTATGAGATACATGCACACTGATAATGTATGCTGTGGGAAACTACATTGGTAGTATAATAAGCCCAGAGAGTGAAGTGATTTGCTGGACTTTGGGCTTAAGAAACAATATTTCCACCAAGCATATTCCCATTTTGAATTAAATGAATACAAAAGGAGAAAAAGGAAATAGCAATTGTTCTGACAGTTAACACCATACATAAAAAAACACTGAGGAGACTTAATCATAATTACAAAGTGTGCTGCTGAGCCAAGTTTCTCTACATGACGTGGTGAAAATTACAGATCAATTTGTTGATTAAAATTGTTTCTTTCAGTTCAAAGGATCTGTAGTTAGTTTGTTGCCAAGCAATTGCAGCACCGTTCATAATACTGTGACAGTTGGTGCTAATTCTGACTGTCTGCAGGTCAGTAGTAATTTCAGGATGTTCCTGGTTTTAACAGTTTAGTGCAAAACTACACATGCACAAGCACTGTTTATACAGTAATGCTGAGCAACCACCTATCTGCATTGTTTCTGTGGATTTCATAGTCTTTCAGTCAATTGAGGGGAGCTCCAATGCAGATATAGCATCCATTCAGTGACAACGGTGATCCCGTACAGCCAGTGCAGCTTGAGGATATTGTGTTAAAGATTCATTTGCATGAATAGAAAACCTCCAATATGGTGACCTCAGCCCTAGACAAGACAGCTGCTGAATGCTGTAAGTATTTGGGCAGACTCCAGCCACTTTGTAGTCTTGATCAGATGTATAACTGGGTGTAATAAGAACAATTCAGTGAAGACTATAAAACATAGACACTTGTGCAAAGGAAGGGGTAGCAATGAACTGCCTCTAAACCCTTTCACCCTCTCGTGTTGAATATTCAGATGGGTTTATTTGTAGTTTACAGCTGTCCCACAATGTCTTGTGTAGCCTGCTAAACATATTGTATGGGAAAATATCAGAATTGGGGGGGGGTGACAATTCAGTCTTTGGGCCCTAACTCTCACCCAACCTTGATAGGCCTTCAGGAATTAATGAACGCTGATCTACAAGTCTTTCCCTATCTGATCCATTCTTTAAGATGAGGAAAATGCGCATGAAAGCCATTTATCCAAGAATGGCTGATCCTAAATGCTTCACAGCTGTTCAATTAACCACAGCAAGACACGATTTCATGAATACTTATTGAGTTTATGAACTTAACAGTAAATGACTAAAATCTGTGTATGGGGGAATGCATACAAACCTGTGACTTGTTATCAAAATACTTTCAAGTCAGCGCTGTGGGTTTGGAAACTGTCCTTATGAAACCAAACACTTTTCCAAGCCTTTTTGCATAGGTATGTGAAGTATACTAACTAAATGAACAGCATATTAATAATGCTGCTGGCTCTCTTCTCCAGCTTCATTCCCGGTCCCTGGCAGACCTGCAGCAGGACATGCGGTGCCGGGACCCAGCAACGGACCGTCAAGTGCCAGGTGTTGCTGTCCTTCTCCCAGACTGTTGCTGACCTGCCAGATGACGAGTGTGAGGGCGTCAAACCTGCAATGAGTCAGCCCTGCTACCGTACTCCCTGCTCTGGTGTTTTGGGCAAAGGACAAGAAAGCGAAAAGGAGGTGGAGGAAGAGGAGGAGATACCTGAACGAGAGGAACTCCACGACTGGGAGTATGAGGGGTTTACGGAGTGCTCAGAGAGTTGTGGTGGAGGTATGGAAAATGATCTCTAATATGAGAAAGTAAAGAACTAGAGGTAGAACTAGAAGTAAACTAGAAAGCACAGGATTGTAAAGTTGGAAAGTTAACAAGACAAAAGCAAGAGGACAGTTAATAGTCTTTGGTTGCATCAGGATTTGAATCTAACAGTCAGTGGGATCTTACATTAAACCCATGCCAGAGTAGTTTTTACTCTATAAATACAGCAATACATTATATTGCTTAGTGTGAATGCACAGTATAAACTGAAGGCCAACCCCACTCCTTCAGTGTGACTGAATTTGTCCCAGTTTGCTGTATTAAAACAAAATGTCACAGCAGTAAACAGGGACTTTATGTCAGTGCATGACTAAAGCCATGCCAGTATGGGCTTTGAAGTAGAAGTTATATGATATTAGGTGATAATGGATGGAATACCAAGTTTAACCTTAAAGGTCATACGTCACCGACTCCCACGGCAGCAGTGAATGCTGCGCCAGACAGAGACAGCTTTTCTAAACATCCTGCCAACATTCGTTAAAACCCACTTTAATCTCCCCACCTTCACATCCAAGCATGTATGCCTGAATTGTGTGTCTGTGTGTTAATGTCTGCACAAGTGTGCATGTGTAACTTAGTTTTGGCACATGGGCGTAGGCTTTTGTCAATGTCTGTGTGTGTGTGCGCTCACCAAACCCAACAAACTCCCATTTGGGGATGATTACAGACTGGTATCGGGTGTCACATACACACCCTGAGGGCTGCGCTCCTGTGGACCATCACACCAGTGTGGCGTTTGAAGTGCCTGCTTCACTGTTATTGTCCCCAACATTGGAAACAGACTCAGAGATTTATGTTGCATTGCTTTTAACATGACCTGACATCACACCCTTTAAGTTTATCCACAGTCCATGCCAGAACTTAAGCAGGCAGCTGTAAAGTTTTGATGCCCATTGTGCCCCATTAGATACAACCACTGCTTGCTTTCATTGAAGGGCTGGATCTCGATTGCTTCACTGCAGTGTCTGCTTGCAATATGTGATAATATGTAAGAGATTCTTAACAAGAACAATGTGTGTTTGCATTTTTGCTATTCATTCTTAGGGACAGCAAGTATGTGCATATTAACATTTAAAAGTGGAAAACTATGACTGAACCCTGCACAAATAGCTCATGGTTCTTTGGAATTGCCTTGTAACTTCCCGGTGCTGCTGTCTAATCCCAGGTGTGCAGGAGGCTGTAGTCATCTGCCTGAACAAGCAGACCAGGGAGGCAGCAGACCAAAGCCTGTGTGTGAGCTCCCGTCGGCCCCCGCAACTCCTCCAGGACTGCCAGACTCAGCCCTGCCCACCCAGGTATGGTGAAACCCACAAATCAGACCTACATCATTATCATTTAGACATTGTTTAAAATGGTTTGTGCATGCACATTAAAATAGACTTGATTGATGGATGCAGTAAAAATGCGGAGGAAATGTGTTTTTGGAAAAAGGGTTTGGCTGCATTCAAGAAGAAAATATTAATTAAAAACAGGACGGAAATCTGGCTCTGCTCTTCATTAGTTTGCCAAGACTGTAACCCAGCAAAATATGCAATATATGGAGCTGGGACATTGATGCACCATTTCCTAGAGCCCTGATGCATCCCTGGGTTCTACACCTGGAACAGCTTAACTTTCAGACTATCAAAAAACACACATCACACTAGTTGAATCAATTAATCTCTGCTAATCACTGGTTGTGTACAAAAGAGATTCAAATCCTTCTAACCCACTACGTTATCCCTCTCAGTTTAAACCACTTGGGCCAATTAAATCAGCGCTTAGGCCATTTGAGTCCAAGAGATACTGAAGCAGAATGACAGAGATGGATGGTTGTATCACTGAGAGCAGGAAATGAAGCCAGTGGGACAGCTTGTGGAACCTGGTCAGAATCAGACACAACGGGGATCAGATGTCAGTGGTAGCTATACCTGTTAGGCTCAGATGTGAAATTGTACTTGGAAGAACTTTTCAAGATTTTTTTTTTTTTTTTGTCAGTGGTTGTGTCAGCACAGAAATGTGGGAGGCCTCTGCTGCTGTAGTTAGTGTTCACTTTTGAAAAGTTACTGTAGCAAAAAGCTGCCACTTAGCTTTTAATACTACTAGAAATGATCTTTAGGGATCACACATATAAGTTCACAATGTAACATTTGCTCTGAGGGGATGCTCAGGAAAAATCCAAAATGTTTGTGATACCAGAAAGCAGTCACCAAAATCATACAGACTCTTCCTCTGGGTATATTGAATGTCCTTGAAAGATTTAATGGAAATTAGATTATTATTAGTTTTCAATATGCTATGTACAAAGCTGACCTTTGGGTGACTCTAAAGGAAAGCTTATTGAGTGTTGAAAATTGAAGGCATTAATCCTCTGGGGAGCATGAATGTGCTCAACAAATGTGATAGTAATCTACCCATTAGAGGTTGTTTAAAGGATCTCTTTGAGGTAAAGTCACAATTTACCCCCTGGTAACATAGTTTTAGGGATACCCTGTCATGGACAAAAGTTCTGGTCAAAAAAAAAGTTTTTCCTAATTTAGATCATCGTCCTCTGGTGATGATGACTCTCCTTGCTAAAAAAGTGCTATTATAAGTCGGTTGTTGTCACAGCATTTTCATCTAAGAATCATTTTAGACGTTCCCAACATTGAGTCCTCATTGCTTAACGTTTTGTTGTTGTTTTTCATAGTATTTGCAATTTCACATTTGCAATTTCAACATTGTTCATCCACCATATTCCAAATTGATAAACTGTTTTTTGAAGAGAGCGCACACAAAATTAATCAAAATCAAATACCTGAATGGTTAAACAGCATAATGACATGTTGTTTAATTTAACTGAGCCATGGCTAAACGGTGAGTGGATTTTGCGGTGGGCCACACGTTTCAAGTTAACACCGTGCTCAGTGTCGGTGTTCCACCACTCACACTCTTGTCAGAAAACCCAGAGGCTTGCAGCCTGCTCTTGCCTGTTTTTCCAGGCCTTGAGTCTTGTTTTCAGGCACAACAAACGCTGTATTGGACTTGTTTCCTTTGGCCCTTTACTCCCTCCCTGAGGCCTCCTCACCCTCCCATATTAAGCTACACTCTTTGGATATTGTTCCCTCTGAAGGGAAACAGCCATAGGATTTGGCTTTTAGTATAGTACCGGTCCAGAAACAAGCTTCATTCCCAATTCTCCTCAGTCCCTGTACCCTTGAGTAAACAGGAATAGTTTTCAAAAATCACCTAATCTGTCAAGCAAGAAGTAAAGTCGCTGCCATCTCAGCCAAAGCTTTTCTATGTGTTTAAAGGCATAGCGACTAATTAGACACATGCCACATCATTTTCAAGATTGGAATAAAAATGCTGAGCAAACCTTGATGCCGGATTGATCATCAAATCAAATTGTGTTGGACAAAAAAACTAATATTGGTCCACGGAGGTCATTGGGAAAATGCGGGTATAGAAGCAATGCCATAGGGATTTCTCAAATATCACTAAATTTAGTGGGAGATTTAACGTTTCTTTGCCAGGATCCGGCCCCATGAATCACTCTTTTCGTTTTCACTCGTATTCACTTTCATGGATTTCACTCTCATGAATTTAGACATTCATAAGACTGCAAGAGTGTCCTCTCATGGGATCAAGTAAAAACTTCAAGCACTCTGACTGAACTCCTCCTGACTGCAGTCCTTTATAGATTGGATGATGGGCTACATACAGTATATATGTACACAAAAGATGAATGGGAACTAATCGGGAACGGCAAAGGTTAGGAGTTGTAAAATCATGACATGCAGTAGTGTGATGATCAACATTGTTTTCACAGGTGGGAAATGGGAGAGTGGAGTTCATGCTCTGCTACTTGTGGGGTTGGTCTGATGACCCGCACTGTGGCATGCACTCACCGGCCCTCTCGGGACAGCAACCGTACTGAGGTTTTGAGGGATGAAGACTGTCAGAACCCCAAGCCTAGTCCCGTCCAAGCCTGCAACCGCTTTGACTGCCCTCCTATGTGGGACACACATGACTGGGGACAGGTAAACAATCTCACCTGGGCTGTTCACTACCATAAATGCCTGGCCCAGCAATTACACTGAAGAATTTAGCACATGTATTTCTAATACAACCCCTGGTACCTCTGTGTTTTTGTGGTTACAGTGCTCCCGGAGCTGTGGTGGTGGATTTCAAAAGAGGCAGGTCCTGTGCAAACAGCGACTGGCAGATGGCAGCATCCTGGAGCTGCCTGACACATTTTGCCCTTCCAAGAGCCCTTCAAACCAGCAGCCCTGTGCCAACCAATATTGCCCACCTCAGTGGGTCACAACAGCCTGGTCCCAGGTAGGGTTTCCTCAAGGCACCAGTCTACCTTTTTAAAAATTAAATGTACATTATGCAGGGGTCTGCATTTTCATATCTTACAATATCATGTCTTTGTCCAGTGCTCAGTGACCTGTGGAAATGGTATTCAGAGACTACAGGCAGTCTGCAGAAAACAAGGGGAAGATGGGGGACATTGGACCATAGGCCCTGAGAACTGTTCCCTGATTGCCCAGCCCACCAGAGTGCGGCCATGCTCCCTAAGGCTCTGTGACAGTAAGACACCCTTTGGTTTCCCTTAGCCATGGGATGTTTTTCTAGCTTACTAACAAATTATTACATAAATGTTCACTCTTTAAATTGTGTCAATGGACATTCCTTGACAATTACAAATGCACAGGAGTACAGATGACACAGACAGTAATCAAGCCATTCACCTCTCATGTCTCATTTCCTCACAGACTCTGTCAAGCCTGATCCCACCATACTGGCCCAGAGGAAGGTGTACATCCAGTGGAGGAAGGGCAAAAAGTTACACTTGGTAGTGGGAGGCTATGCCTACCTGCTCCCCTGGACAACTGTGGTCCTTCGATGTCCAACCCGCCACTTCCGCAGGGGCCACATCGAATGGTTGAAGGAAGGCAAGCCCCTGGTCAACCTCCCACATCTCTCCTTAACATCACTAGGATATGTGAAGATTCATCAGGTTAGTACATCCGATGCAGGGATATACACGTGTGTCGCAGGTCCGGCACAAGAACATTTTGTCCTGCAAATCATTGGCAGCAAGCAGAAGCTTTCTATTCCAGAGGCATGGCTCCTTGCAGGAGGACAACAAAAGGTTGGGCAGCCAGATGTGTCCTCAACGGGAGAAAGATTTCAGGAGCTACCCATCTCCCTCAACCAATATGACAACATTGTTGAGCATTTGCTTGAACTCAAAGGGTCTGAAGATGAAAAAGACATTGCTGATAAGCCACACTCAAGTGAAAAGAACAGGTCGACCCTGGAGGATGAGCGTTCAGAACATCCAAGCCTGCTCGTACTCATTGCAGACACCCACAGGCTAGATGAGCTCACGCACAACCTCTCTGAAGGCTTCAAAGGACCATGGGGCGAACAACTCGTCGCACAATTGCTCAGTGAGCTCACTATGACACAAGGTGAAACCAATGAGTCTACTCTTCATCCTCCGGAAAGCGCAGAATCCTCCACGCAAGGGCCCCTCCTTTACAAACCAAACATCAAAGCGCACACATCCAGACCAAGAAACCCAGTGATAATCCAACGTTCCAGGAAGGTCGGAGTGGTGATGTCGTCTGACATGATAGTCCATGTGGGAATGCCAGCTTTGCTGCAGAAACCCATTGCTAGTTTGGAGCTGAGGTGTGAGGCACTGGGGAACCCTGAACCATCCCTAACATGGACAAAGAATGGAAAAGAGTTGCACTACAACAGCAGGTAAGAACTTCCATTCAATGTGACTTTTTGTGCAAAAGGAATGAAGATTTTGTCATATAACATAATTGTTATAGATTCAATGGTTACTTTGTCTTTGTGTTGGCAGAGTAGGCCTGTTGCCCACGGGCTCACTGAGGATCCAGTCTCCAAGCAAGGTGGATGAGGGTCTGTACACCTGCACCGCAAGGAACCGTCTTGGGTCTACGTCTCTTTCATCATGGCTGCAGATTACAGGTAAAGTCTAATCCTTGCTAGGTAATTGGTAGTAAGTAATCCTGTGTAAATAATGATTTTCATAACATTCAAAACTTTATTTTAAGATGTAGTCAAGCTCCCATGGTTTCGAAAATGTAATATAAAATGAAGCACAAAACATCTAGTACTCTCACTTAAGGTTAAAAAGTAAAGAAATTGTAGCCTTGACCAAAATATTGTTCCAATTTTAAGTTCAATATATAAGAA